TGGCATGATCTCCTAAGCAAAAAGGGTAGCTGCCAGGCAACCTCTTCCCCTCAAATGACTACAGATGTAAGGGACTATCCTGTTCTCCAGCCATGTCTTTTAGTCATAAAGAATTGAAGTTTAAAAACTCACAGTACCCATAAGCCTTTGTTATGCATAGCCAGAAACAGAAAAATATCTTCAATAATACGGAGCATCAGCGCATTTTGTAAGAGTCATTGGCTGTAACCTATTATACTTACAGTTGTGATCGACTTGCTTCCTCTGGCTAGGCCTATAACATCAGTTTACTCCTTCCAGCCATAACTAGCTTGCCTCCCCTGCTCCCTGGCCAAGGCTGGGAGTGTAGTACATCCTTCCCGCCTGGATAGACTTTGGATCCTGGTCATGGTGGTTCTGGGGCCTGCAGTGGGAGTCTTTTCTAAGGATTGGCCAGCCAGCATATTTCCCTTCAGTGCAAATGCTGAGTCACATGGGGCCTCTCTGTTCCCCTCTCCCAGCCTTCCGAACCCACCCTCCTTGCTCGCTGCTCAGAAACCTTAAAGCATCCCCTTGGTAACTTATGCAGCATCCAGACATCAGTAAGTTCTTTTTTTACAATGGCCTGTGGATCCACCAGCTGAACAAGGTTGAGTGGGCTTCCTTCTGAGCCTGTCCCCTTCCAAGGGGCTTCCCTCTTCTAAGGGAAACATCACAAAGATGGGAAAGAGCTGAGTTTGAATCCTGTCTCTGTGGCTTGGGCAAGTTACTTAACCTTTCTGAGCCCCAGTTTCCTCATCTGTCCCTACGTCATAGTAGTTAGGAATGAAGGAACTTTTGTAAAGGATCATGCCTGACACACAGTGGGTGCTCAGCACATATTAATTATCATCTGACAACCTGCTGCGGGCCAGGTGGATCTTGTTACTGACCCCTGAGGGAGTGACAGACAAGGACGCACCATGGGGCCCAGCACACGCAAGCCTCTGTGGGTCTCCATCACCACAGGACAAAGACTTCTGGGAGGGCTGAGCAGGTAAAGGTCAGTCTGTGCCAGTGGCCGCTGGCGGGCGCTGGAACCAATGCTTTAGAACCAACCGAGAAGGAGGTTCTTGTGTGGCCAGCAGGTGGCGCCTCTGTCCTCAAGCCCTTCATTTCTGTTGCCCTCCACCCAGGCTCTAGGTCAAACTCTAATCTCCGTTCTTAGGTTCCTAGGTTTCAGGCCATTCTTAACATCTCTGAGCCCCAATTTCCTCATCTGTAAGATGCAGATAAAAACAGCACTATCTCACAGGGTTGCTGTGAAGATTGAGTGAATTAATACAGGTAAAGTGCTTAGAAAAGTGCCTGGCACATAGTAAGTGCTCAATAATGTTATCTTTTTTTTTTTCTTTTTTAAAGAACCAGTGGGGGCGGGGCTCTTGTTGAAAATACAGACTCCCAAGCTTCTCCCCTGAAGATTCTGATTTAGAAAATCTTGGAAGGGTTGTGATCCGTATTTTTAATGAGTACCCCAGGTCATTGTTAAGATCAGACAAGTTTGAGAAATATTGGCTTACTCAGTTACCACCCCTGGGAAGCCAGCTGAAATTTGTGTCCTCCGAGAAATCACTCCCAGTTTCATCATATGATCTTTCCCTCCCTGAGTTCCCACAGTCTCATCTCTGCATTTTCCCCATCAAGTCTGCCTTGTCTTAAAGTTGTTTGTGAACATGTCTGGAAAAGGTACGGCTCATCTCTAGACCCTTGTTTTTACCTGGCAATATCTGGCACAGACAAGGTACCCCAAAATGTTTGGTTTTAAATTTAAAATATTCTGAAAAAGCAAGAAACCATTTTTTGCAGTGTCCTTGGGAACGTCTGAGGCAATGAGTGGTGGAAATCTGAGCCGTGGAGATAATTACTGCTGCATTTCTAGAGGTAACCTATTCAGTAGAGGTGCAAACATAGGTCCAAACCTATTCAAATTTATTTAATGTATTTCGAAAACTGTCCTTGTGGTCCATTTTCGAGGACGGAAGGGGTTACATAAACAGGATTAATGGTTCTATATAGGTTTCTTTTCAAAACGCTCAAGACTGTGGGTGGAAAGAGGCTGCCACCACAGAGATGGGATAAAGCCATGGGCCAAGATTGGGCTGAGGAAATGTGTGCTTAATAAATTAACAGTGATGAGTGAGTGAATGAATGAATGAATACCTACCTTATTCCAAGGGATCAAATTTATCCCCCAGTTGTAGACATTGGCCAGCCCTCACTGGCAGCCAGAAGGATGACACTTCATGGGGCTCCAAACCCAGACCCTCTCCTCCTTGTCTCATGGCAGCTAGACGCTTATTCTTTCATCAGTTTTGCCAATGGCAGCATGAAGGTGAGATGGGCAATGGATGACTCAGCTTAAGCTGCACACCTGCTTCAGTGCTCAGGGGCCCACGAGCCCTTGGAATGTCCCAAAAGGACCAGCCCTGACTCCAGGCCCGGAGCCTGAAGGAACTCCTGTATCAGAGCAACACTGCTACAATGATAGGGGCTTGTCTCATAATCGGAGGTCAGAAAGGCTGAAGACACATTAATTCTGGTCCCTCACTGTATCTGAGGCGGCTGATCTGAAGGCTGGGACCCTGCAATACACTTTCATTTTTCTGTATCACTGGGGATTGTCCTTCTCTTAATCTCAGTTTCTCCACCAAACAAGGAGAAGACCAAATCGTACTGCTGAAAGCCAACCTTCGCCTTCTCAGTGGCCAGGTCTGTTTCAGCTGGAAGGGAAGTACAGATTGAGTATGAATCTGTTCCTTCTTCTTTGGTCGAGTTCCTATCAAGGGGCAAAAGCTCCTTACCCCAAGTGCAGGAGAATCATCTGGCATCTGTGAATTTACAGACTCACTCCTGTCCACGGGGGAGGCGTGGGGTGGAGGGATGAAAGCCAGACCAGCTGAAGCCCTCGTACGTTTTCTCCCAACGTTTTCCATCCAGCTTGCCAACTCCCAGTTCCAAGCTAAGTATGGTATTCTGCCCACTGGTTCTGCTGCCCAGCCTCACCCAGGCTTGGCTGCCTCCTACCCGCTCCTGCACCTTCTCACGAGCTTGCTCAAGGTTTAACTTCCAAAGATAAGACATTTCTTCACATGTCCCCACACGCCCACGCTGCCTGGACCAAGCAACTGTTCTACAATAAATGTGAAAGGCTGCAGCCCACAGGGCTGTTGTGAGGGTATAATGAGTGAGGCCATGGACATGGGCTAAATCTTTCCTAGAAGTGGGAGGGAAGTTTGAATTCGGGGCTGAGAACTGATTCTAAGAGACGAAGGAAGATTTTCTTTGAATCTGTGTAAAAGTTCCACAGAACTGCAGAATTTTAGAACCAAAAGGGAGTCTAATCCAAATACCTCTCCTCGCTGAAAGGATTTAATAATTACAAAATCACAGCTCGACAGTAATAGAAGCTGACCCCAGGTCTCCTGAATAGTAGGATTTGTTCCACACAACCAGTTGGGTGTTAAAGTGCTCACAAAATAATTTTAAGTGGAAAAAAGACCGGGATACAGAAAAAGTCAATGCATCATACTCCTAAGAATAACTCGCAATTATACAGCCTGTGCCCGACACATGTTATTCCATCTAATCCCCACATTGTACACGAGATGGTTTATGGCCTCCTTTTACAGATAACAAAACTAATGATTGGCACAGTTGGGCAACTTATTCAAGGTCGTCAGCAAGAGGCAGAGCAGGGATTGAAGTGAGGTTTCTCAGACTCAAGTCTGTCTCTTAACCACGACTGCCTTTCCTGAGGAACACAAACTGAAAGGAAACACAGCAACGGTTCACGGAGTGAGGGGAGTCACTTCTCAAACTGGGGATGCCTCACTGGCTTCACCTTTCCCGGGAAAGAACACCGAGATGCTGACAGAGTCCTCTCCGAAGGACTGAGATCCCTGAAGCTCGGGATGAGCAGTTCAAGGATGCTGCAGGCACTTTCAGAATATTGCTAAAGCTTTCAAATGCACATCCCCTTTGATTCAGCACTCCCATACTTCTGGGAATTTACCCTACAGATGTACACAGGCATGAGTGTAAAGCTGTATGTACAAGGTTATAAACACTGCCTTTTTGCAAAAGCCAAAGCCTGGAAACCATCCAAAACCCTATCAAAAGAAGACGGATAACCTGTGATCTATGCATGCGCTGAGATGCCAGGGAGCAGGGAGAGTGAGGAAGCCCCCTGGCTACTGATGTGGGCCTCTCTCCAAGATACACTGTTGAATGGAAAGAAGCCAAGTATAGAATATTGAGTGAAACTTGTCTTTGGGTTAAAAGGTGGGAAGCATGTGTATATACACATACATATATATTCATATATGAATATGAGTAATATATATATAAATAATATATGCTTGCATTTTCATAAAGAAACTTCGGAAGGACACAGACAAAACCAACAAAATTGGTTACCAGTGGTGCTGAGGCAGGGTAGGAACAGGGTAGACAGGAGACAGGGGTAGGAATGGGACTTCTCATTGTGTATTTTCTTATATTTTTTGATATGATTGTATCATATATTTTTAAAATTCAGATTAAAAAAGGAAAAGAAATGCTTGAAAAATACACATTGGGCTTCCCTGGTGGCGCAGCCGTCAGCAAGAGGCAGAGCAGGGATTGAAGTGAGGTTTCTCAGACTCAAGTCTGTCTCTTAACCACGACTGCCTTTCCTGAGGAACACAAACTGAAAGGAAACACAGCAACGGTTCACGGAGTGAGGGGAGTCACTTCTCAAACTGGGGATGCCTCACTGGCTTCACCTTTCCCGGGAAAGAACACCGAGATGCTGACAGAGTCCTCTCCGAAGGACTGAGATCCCTGAAGCTCGGGATGAGCAGTTCAAGGATGCTGCAGGCACTTTCAGAATATTGCTAAAGCTTTCAAATGCACATCCCCTTTGATTCAGCACTCCCATACTTCTGGGAATTTACCCTACAGATGTACACAGGCATGAGTGTAAAGCTGTATGTACAAGGTTATAAACACTGCCTTTTTGCAAAAGCCAAAGCCTGGAAACCATCCAAAACCCTATCAAAAGAAGACGGATAACCTGTGATCTATGCATGCGCTGAGATGCCAGGGAGCAGGGAGAGTGAGGAAGCCCCCTGGCTACTGATGTGGGCCTCTCTCCAAGATACACTGTTGAATGGAAAGAAGCCAAGTATAGAATATTGAGTGAAACTTGTCTTTGGGTTAAAAGGTGGGAAGCATGTGTATATACACATACATATATATTCATATATGAATATGAGTAATATATATATAAATAATATATGCTTGCATTTTCATAAAGAAACTTCGGAAGGACACAGACAAAACCAACAAAATTGGTTACCAGTGGTGCTGAGGCAGGGTAGGAACAGGGTAGACAGGAGACAGGGGTAGGAATGGGACTTCTCATTGTGTATTTTCTTATATTTTTTGATATGATTGTATCATATATTTTTAAAATTCAGATTAAAAAAGGAAAAGAAATGCTTGAAAAATACACATTGGGCTTCCCTGGTGGCGCAGCGGTTAAGAGTCCGCCTGCCGATGCAGGGGACACGGGTTTGTGCCCCGGTCTGGGAAGATCCCACATGCTGCGGAGCAGCTGCGCCCATGAGCCATGGCCGCTGAGCCTGCGCTTCCAGAACCTGTGCTCCACAACGGGAGAGGCCACAGCAGTGAGAGGCCTGTGTATCGCAAAACAAAAAAAAACACACTACGGAGCATGTCTGGCTTACTGACTCCAGTATGTTTGTATGTGTGTGTGTGTTTGTGTGTGTATGATTGTTTATGTGTGTGTGTGTGTGTGTGTGTGTGTGTGTGTGCACATTCAGACCAGCACTCAGAGGGGAGAGAGGTGGAGGACTGGGACTCGAAGAAACAATGGAGTCCAGGAAAGCCTTGGCTGGACGTCATGTGGTCCTCCCCTTGCCTCTGTACAGCCCAGCTCAGAAAGCGCTACTCTTTGGTGAGTGAGAGGTCAAGAGACAACAAACCAGCGTGGACCGGGGGCACACAGAGAGGAACAGGAGGACGGGAGCGAGGCTTACACTCCTGCATTCTGAGCTCCCAGCCCTGGGCCCCCTTCTCTCTCCCAGGCTGGTTGGGAAGCTGCCCTGTCCCCGCTCTTCTGCTCTAAAGCCACCTCTAGGTCAGAATGCCCTGAATGAAACCAAGGAGCCGAGGGGTAGCCCTGCACCTTTCACAGGGAGGTGAGGGTGAGAAGGGGGCAGGGGTCCTCAAAGACCTGCCAGTGTGTTCTGAAGATGAGCAGAGGGGGCTGGTGGGCAGTGGGTCAGGGCCAGCACCATGCACAGACGGACTGCCCCCAGTGGTCAGCACCCGGCCATACGGGCTGCTGAGTGTCGTGCACATCACACCCTGGCCCACAGTGCTCTCCATCTTGGGGCGGAGGGTGGTGGCAGGACAGTGGGGGAGTCACACAAGGGGATCCCAGGCCCATGGCGCCTGGGCTGCCCCGCGGCGGGACACTCACATTTCCAGGACCATGACAATGTTGGCCTTCTCTTCGAAGGCATCCACACACTGGACCAGCTTGGGGTGGTGGAGGCAGTTCATGATGCTGATCTCCTGCCGGATGTTCTCTTTCTCTTTTGCTGAATATGCCTTGAAGAATTTCCCTGCCCAGATTTTTCCAGTTTTCTTTTCTACAAGTCGAAAGACCTGTCCAAATTTCCCACTGTGAATGAAAGGAGGAGAGAAAAAGCAATTTAGCCCAGCTTTCCACTGACCTGGGATTGGCGAGTGATGGACCGTGGGACCCATCTGGCCTCCCTCTTTTTCTAAACAAAGTTTTACTGGAAAACAGCCATGCCCATTTGTGCCCAGATTGTCTGTGGCTGCTTCTGGGTTTCAGTAGCAGAGCAGTCGTTGCAGCATAAACCAAATGGCCCACAAACCCTAAATATCCATTATCTGGCCCTTTACAGAAAAAGTTTGCCAGTCCCTGCTCTAGGTCAGTGAAGCGCACTGCTGATGCTGACAAACCTACTCTCCATCACTTGTCAATGTCAGCCTGGGTCTGGCCCCCAAACCTGCCCTAACCCTGTCCAGTCTTGCTGTTCTTTTAGGACTGTCATCTCCTTGGGCTGAGGCCTCAATCTTGGCGACAGACTTCTTTCCCTTTCCCCCGCGAAAGGACCCACGACATCAGGTTGGGGAAGCCCTCCCCAGGTACCGAGAATTTCAGAGTGGTTGCCTTCCTTCCACACCTTTCCAGTACCAGGGCCCTGGAGACAGCCTAGCAAGGCCCCTGCTTCCCACTGTGGGGATGGCAGTGGTGGCATCCCGCTGACACCACTCCCGCCCCAGAGCAGGGTCCTCGTTCTTCAGGACTGTGATGAGGTTGGTGTCACTCCTTTACTGGACAGAAACCCTCCGGAAATAAAGAGCTGAGCCCCATCCCTCTCTCTTCCACCTCCCCTCCTCCTCCAGGGATAGTCAGTGGGCGACAGGCAGCCCTGGGTGCCGCTGCTGGTGGGCACAGCCTGGCTGTGCCGAGGGTCCAGGGTTGCGGTCTGAGTCCATTGGTGTATCTGCAGCCCAGGGAAGAGCCTGAGCAGAGACTGTGGACTGAGTTCACAAAGCGAGGGGTGATGACAGGAGGTGCATGTCAAGGGGGCGTGTTCTCCTGAAGCGCTAGAGCTGGAACTGCTGAACGGCGAGCACGGATCAAAGGGAAGGGATCCTAAAGACGGGCCGGGCCAGACCTGCTGCCCTGGGTTATGTCCTATGTGAGGGGTGGATTGCAGAGGAGGACGGGCCTGCTCAAGCTTGCGGAGGGATCCCGGGGCACAGCAGCTCCTAAGAGAGCCCTGGCCGGGTGATGCTTTCACGGGTGCCAACAGGTCAAGCCCTCCGGGTTCTGCAGGAATCTCAGTCTGGGGAGTTGGCAGAACCCAGGGAAGGACAGGAAGAGGAAGCAAGGAACTTAACCTCGGGGCCTGCGCCACCCTCACCCTGGGCTCCGGAAGGGTGCTTCCCACTCCACTTACGATCCTAGTCTCTCTTCGATGTCGTAGAAGTCAGACACTTTCTGGTCAGTATTGACCGCGACGGTCCGGTAATCGACCTCGGGCTCCTTTTCATCTGCAGGGTGGGGGCCGGGGTGAGTGTGAGCCATCAGACCCCTCACCCACCCCCCTCCACCCCTCGAGTCTCCCCGAGGACGGGGGCCAGCCAGCACTCACCATCATCCGACACCTCCACTTCATCCTTCGGCTCTGCGGGGAGAGAGGGCGTGGGCGATTAGTAACGAAGGCCCACCGAGAGCAAAGCATGCCAGGGGCCCTGTCAGACTTCAGCCTTCCCAGGCACAAGACCACCAAGCCCAGAGCTCTGGGCATCGCCACGGGGTCAGTGGGTCCACGCTGCAACAGGGCCACGTATACACCGGCAGGCGCTGGCCCCCACCCAGCCCCTCCTCTGCCAGCTCTCCCCTCCATCCACTCCCCTCTAGCCTTGAGGTCCCATAGACATGCCCTTGTTCACATCTTTTCTAGTCTCTCTGACTTTCAGAACCTACACACAACTACGACAGTCCTTTTCTGCTCCGGCTCAAAAGTCGGCAACTTATAACTGCTACTAGCGTCAAATCCATTTATCCATTTGCTGAGAACTTTTTCTGGAATTCCAGCTAGGTACCAGTTATTCTGCCAGTGATCATGGGTGTACAAAACAAAATACAGATGGCATGATCTCTCCTCCTTTCTTGGAGCTTATATATAATTTCGTTGGAGAGGCAAAAACACATATCCTTCAAATATCCATTACGAGTGTTATATAATCAAGCACATGATATCGCAGTACGAACTGAGTAGACAATGGAGGAAGGTGACACAAGTGGGGCAAGTATAAAGTCAGAGCAATTAGTCTAGGAAGAAGGAGCCCTTGAGTTGTGTCTTAAAGGAAATGATGGAACACAGCGAGGAGGTAGGTGACGTCATGCAGGAAGCCAGCGGGTGTTTATGGGTATGGCAAGGAGGGACATGAGCAGCCCACCCTGGCCGTTCACACAGATGTTTCAGTAGTGGATGGGGGGTCGTGAGGGGACAGGCTGGTGGCCAGAGGAATACACCCACTTCCGAAGTCCAGGCTTTCCTTTGCTTTGGTATAATTAGTTCCTAAAGAGCCACTGTGGCTTCTTGACCTTAGCCAAGTGCCTTTCCCTTCCTGGACCTCAGTTTCCTCATCTGTAAAAGGAAAGCACTGTATTTCTGGGTGGTTTCTCGGGTCCTTGGCTAGCCCTGGATGCCATGCTTTGTGATGTGCTAGGTGCTACTCAGCCATGACGTGGGCTGTGTCCCGTCTGACGGCGGGAACCAAGGGAGGCTTCCTGAAGAGGTAGAAAGACCTGAGGAAGCCAGAGAGGGAGGCCAAGGGTTTCTAAAGTGTGTGTGTGTTTGTGTGTGTGAACAACTGGGGGAAAGGGTGTGATTTGCTGAAGCTCCCAGCAGAGCAAGACTGAGGACAGGAAAGGGACGGCAGATGGAAAGAAGGCCAGAGCAGACGGGGCCGAGGGGTTGGTCAGACACTGCCCAGAAAGGAGAGCTTGTGTGGGAGTGGCCCCAGCTCTGTGTGCTTTGCAAGTGGAATGCTGGCGGTGAAGGTGTGGGTCGGGGACCAGGTGCAGCTTGAAGCTGTAGACAGCGAGCCTCTCTGTTAGGCTGAGGGCAGAACAAATCACTGAAACCTGAGAGAAGTCACACAGTTCCCATGCAAGATAAGTACCCCTTGCAGGAAAAGAGTTTTGAGAGAGTTTATAAGCAGCATGTGACCGGGAGCGAGAGAGGCTGTGATTTGTTTAGAGTTCTTAAAATGCTGTTGATGAAGTCTAATTTTAAAAAACCAACACAAGTGGGATTGGGAGGAATATTTGTCACAGAAAGGAAAATGCTATGGAAAAATAAAAAAGGATAAGATCTACGGGGACTCTCAGATTAGTGGTGGGGTTCACAGATACTGTCGGGATGTGAGTAGAACTGATCAAGTCTTCTAAATCACAGATTTGAGAGTTGAGAGTGACACTGTCGAATTCACAGATGACCAAAATGTACTTGAGAGCAACACACCTGGAAGGTAGTAATGGAGTCATGTGTTCAGGGAGAATTGAATCATTCAGACTTTCAGCATGACAAGCCCTAGGGTATCTAGTTAGAACCAAAAGTGGGAGCCCCATTCCTCAACCAACTGCTCTGGCCACTGGGGACATGCTGTCACTGGGGACATGTGCACCGGCTGCAAACAGGTATTATTACTCTGCCCTTGGTAGAGCCTGGGGTCATGTGATCCTAAAACCCTGGCTGTTGGCACTGAGAATGTCTCAGTGGAGCTGGAGGAGGCATGGGCCGTTGAAAGGAAGAGCTGCCACGTGAAGACAATCAGAAAAGGTTAGGCCTCTCTGGTTGGGAAAGAAGCCTAAAGCAGACATGATAAAAAACAAAAAAATCACAATAGCCAAGGGTGAGATTAGGGTTACGAACTTTCACCAACTAATGAATACTATAACGTGGAAGAACAATTTAGCGTTATACCTCACATAGGAGGAAGGCTGCAGGCATCTGGAAATCACATCTCAAGAGCCACCGTAAGAACGATAAATAGGTTCAAGAGATGTTTAGGTTAGTTCAACAACGGTATTTCAGACAGGGATTTAAGGAAAGCAAGAGATTCAAGTCAATTCAACAATCATTAACTGAGCACTTGTGGATGCCAATCACTGGATGGGGCCTTAGAGACAAAACATTAATGATAATACCCACATTTAGTGGCAGGGAGGCCCCATCGTCCTGATCCATGGTACCCTAGCTGAGACAGTGGTTTGACCTCTCCTGACCTTTTTGTCCCCATGCCACATATCCTGGTGTAGAATGAGCAAAAGGATGAGAGAGTACAGAGAGACAGGCTTTCCTGGCCTGGAATCTCTAGGAGGAACCGTCTGTCCTCTCCTCGTGAAGGAACAGAAGCAGCACTGTGAGCCCATGAGGGGCTTTCCAAATGACCTGTTTCCCGGAGGCATCTTCCAGGTGGCCCTGAAAGGGCATGCAGTTCTAGAACTGGCCTCTCCCCATCTCTCTGACACCAGTTAGAGATGGAGCTAGCCTTCTTGCCCTCCTCTCAAATACACCTACCCTCACCTCCTGCCTCTCTCCTTAGCAGTCAAGATGCAGTTTTTTCCTGGTGTCAAGTCTGTGGGGTCCAGCTCAATCTCAGGGAACCCAGGCCCCTGCCTCTGGCTCACCGTTACATAGCAACCCTTCCTCTGTGTGGAACTCGGACCAAGGCTCCAGGCTGAGACATTTCCCTTCCTCCTTTTCCTTCTCGTCCTGTCTCCACTCTATTTGGAAGGGAAATGGCCATGAGAGGAGGAACCCCAGAGGTGTGGGGGAAAGACCACAATTCAATTAGCCAAGCTCTCTGAGCGTAAAGGGGTAGTAATGAGAGAGGTGGCCACGTGGTGTCCATCTTTCCGTTCAGGAAGGAGCTAAATTGCAGTAGAAGGGACTTCAACGAAATACTTTGTAAAAAATCCACTCAGAGCTGTGAGATCCCTTAAGAGCTAAGTGGAAGGACTATTTGGAAGATGGTTCCGAGATATTTCTGCAGGCAGATGACACCATCCCCCTGGAGTGGTGTTTCGGGGAGGACCGGCTGAGCGCTCTGGCCCTCACGTGGCACGTGTCTAGCCGTCTCCCTGGACAGAGGGGTCCCTTCGCACGGCGGAGGGCTGCTTGGCGCCCAGCGGGCACTAGAGGGCGCCCGCGCCCCGGGGAGGGCAGCCGCGGCAGCTCAGGGTGAGCGGTTGATTTCCGCTGCTTCTCTTAGGGGCTCTGCATCTCTACCCTACTCTGCATCTCTACCCTACTCTGCAAGCAGCAACAACTATATAGACTAGAACAAATTAGGATTAGGAGCAAGGACGGAGCGGATTTCAGAGTTAGAGTTGAGTATGGTGGGAGTGGAGATCCAGACCTGGTTGGGATGGGAGAGAGCGGCTGCGCGTTGGGTGGGAGGGGGAAGGGGAGGTGCTTGATTACTCAGGTTTGGGAAGACGAGGAGGGGAGCTGTCAGGTTACGGGTCCTAGTCTGAGGGGGCGGCGGGGCTCTGGCATAAGGAGGCCACAGAGCTGGGTGGAGACCTACATGCTATGCTGTGTCCTCCACCGTATCCCTAGCGCCCCTGCAGCACCTGGAACACAGGAGGGGCACCGGACACTGAGTGAGTGAATGCAGAGTGAGGGCGGGGATGGAACTGAGAGGTCCTGATGAAGCCAAAAACTGAAGTTGCTGAGGCAGAGGCCGGAGGGGCCGTGGTAGCGGTGGGAAGGTGAGAGCCAACATTAGCTGTGCTTAGAGGGGGGAGGGTTAATTGGCACTGCCTTTTTATGACCACCAGACCCCACGGGCTCACAGAAATGATCTACTATAATCACATCCCTCTTCTACACATGTGCACACACACACCCTCCACTTCTCTGAGAGCCATTGCACTTTTAAAGAGGAGAGAGATGATCAACCCAGGCTATAACTGACAGGCTTCTGAGCCGTCCACAGAGAGCTTCACTTGGAAGCCACACCCCCTTACCCTCACCCTTCCATCCCCCCCTTCATCTTCTGCCCCTCAGGGGGTGTTCTGTGCTGTTCTGCCCCTCCCCCCTCCCATCAGGGACAAGCCAGCTGGACCTGGGGGTGGGAGCATCTTCCAGCCTGGAAGCCCTGGGTGGCCTGGACCCCTCCTCTGGATTGCAGGCACTTTCAACATTTCCCTTTGTCTGCTCCCAGCCAGGATGGGCCCCAGGAAGAGAATCTGAGGACCACAGAAGGGGGTTCAGCTGGCCTCAGGCAAGAAGGGAGAGGCCACCTGCCTGGAGCCAAGTGGTCCCAGCCCCTCCTCCCCACAGACCGTCCTCACAGCCCTGGAAGCTGCTGTCCTGGCCTCCTAAGAGCCACAACACGCAGCTCCTGTGGCCTCTGGTCCTCTGTGTGGGGCTCAACAGGTATTCTGCAGTCTCTCCTGGTACATGCCCTAAAAGACCTGGAAGTTTCCCCTTCCAGCTAATGCACATCTCACTGCCACGTTACCCCTTTTCTATCACTTTTCTAAGAAGTTGGGAGTCATCTTCTTGGACAAAGTAATATGCTAAAAACATGCAGACTGGAGCCTGGCTGCCTCTCCTGGCACGCCCACTCTAACCAGTCTGCTTCCCATTCTGCTCATGTCAAAGGGGGATGGTCAAAGGGCGGCCGATGGCAGTTTTGTTACTGTTTCTCCCAGAAGACATTTGTGAGCGGCTAGTGGGCAGGAGCCCCATGAAACTGCCAAGAGGTCTGGCAGGGCTCTCTCTCGGGCCGGGCTCCACGATCCACGCTGCCACAGCACACTGTGGCCCTCAGAGAGACCTGCCCTCTGGGGATCTCTAGGGCTCACTGTGCAAAGGCCCCCAAGACAGGGCTGCACAGGCAAAATTATAAATTTGGTGTGTTTTCCACTGGCAACCTCCAAACTTTCTTTCTGGAGCCCTCATTTAATTTGAAAGTAAGGTTTAATATCTGTTTTATGCCTAAATTTTGAAACTAAAGAGGGGTATCAAACTGTAATGACAGTTTCCGTACGTATGATGATGCCTCTGGCTATACGGTGATTTCAGGACCTGCGCCCTGTCCAGCTCCTGGTCCTTTAATCTTCTCTCTACCTCACACCTTACAGCTCTCTCTTCTCCTAGAAGTCTTTCACTTGTTTTCCCTCCACCTTCCTCCCTGCCCCCAACCTTGCCTCCATCTTAAATTCACAGCACTCGTTTTCTTCTCTTCACATGAAACTTCTTGAAGTAACATTCCATACTCCTGGCCTCTCCTTCCATTTATTCCTTAGCCCCAGGGCAACCATTTTCCACCCTGTGGAAACGCTATGGACTTTGCTCTCAAAGATCACGGCTTATCAAAGGGCTGAATCCAAAGACCTTGCATCCTCATCTCTTTCCTCTTTAGCACTCGCTGCTTCCATGTTTCTGCAACACAGCTCCAGCCTCCCCTTGGTTCTCTCCCCTCTCAGTCCTTTCTCCTGATCGTGCAGGCTCCTTCATTTCTGTATCAGTGTAGACTTTCTTTACCCCCCTCTCCGTGAACTTACTGATGCCTATGGCTTCAATTACCAATTAAATAGTGAAGACCCCCCCGCCCCCACCACCAAACCTGTAGCTCGAGCTTAAACCTTTCTCCTGAGCTCTGGATTCAACCATGCAACAGTCTGAAGACACCTCCCCATGGATATCCCTCAGACACCTCGACTCAACAGGGCTGAAACCAGAACTTCCACCTTCTCTGGGACTCCCTGCTATCTAACCTCCAAGTCACTGGGAGGCAGCCTGGCCTTCTCTGTTAGTTTAACCAACGGAGCTCAGGCTCAGGGTCAGACAGCTCCGAGTTCAAGCTTCAACACACCATTTCCAAGCTCTGTGGCCTTGGGCAACTAGCTTCACCCCTCTAAACCTCAGTTCCCCTATCTGTAAAATGGGGGTAATAACAGTATCTACTTCGTTGAGTTAGATGCGTGACATAATGCACGTAAAGTGCTTAATGTATGGTTAGCATACAGCAAGTGTTTAATATATGTTAGCCACCATGAATCATAATAATCAACCTCTAAATGGCTCTTGAACTTGTCTTTAGTTGCCCAAGCTGGGACCTGGGAGTAATCTTAGACTCTTCTAACTTTTCCCTTGAATTCTCTGCCCCAGAAGTCATCAGGAATGGTCAATTCCACCTCCTAAGGAGCCCTTACTATACCTCTCCCGGACTACACCACAGAGGCTCAACCGGTATTTCACTGACTGCAATCTCATCCCCCTAGTCCACTTCAGTGCTTCTCGAACTTTCAAGTGTGTATGAATCCATGGGGGGGGTGGGGGGTGAGGGTGGATAATGTTAAAATGAAGGTTCAGAAGGGACTAGGGAAGTCTGCATTTCTAACAGGTTCCCAGGATCCCAAGACTAGTGGTCCAGACCACCCCTTGAGTTCCAAAGGTCTATTCTTCCTCTAACTCTCTTTCTAAAAAAACAGATCTAATTGCATCAAGCCCCTGCCTGAAAACTTCTGATGAACTCACAATTTTACCCACACTCTCCTTTTTGTGTTGCTTCCTCCTGTTCTATCTCACACAGCATATGCCCTGGCCACACACAAGAGTCTCAAAATGCCATGCATTTCTACCACTTTGTACCTTTGCTCTCGCTGTTTCCTCTGCGAGGAATGCCTCTCCCAATCTGCCCTACCTCTTGGAATCCTATTCCTTTTTCCAAGACTCAGCCTAAGTATTACGTCTAGGAAGTCTTTCCCAACCTTCATGGCAAAATTATTCATGCTTTCTGCTATGTCTCTGCAATTTGCTTATAGTGGTCTAATAGGATGCAGCCCATCTCATCATAGTTGTTAGATTTTATGCTCCCAATCTTATCGGTCTTCGCTGACACTGAGTTCACCCTCAAATATGAGTGCAAGAGAGGAGGGAGCTGGATGAGTGGGTAGGGCAAGATGTTGAAACTGTAGGTCTACCTGAGCTCCCGCTTCCCAGGACTGTGCTTCTCATTAACACACCATCGCCCCTGCTGGGAGTGTACCAAAACCGGTGGTTCAATATTTTTTGAAGGATCATAGGTACCTCCTTTAGAGTATGGATCAGCAACACAACATTGGAAATCAAGATCCCAAAAGACTATGCCAGTCATCAGTGATGTCTTGTGAGTTCCCTTGTACCCGTCTCAGTTCAGCCTTCTATACACACAAGGTAAGTCATGCACATTTATCGAAAGCCAGTGATGAAAGGAAGGCAGCCTACCCTCAGGTATCTCTCCCACCACTGTGAGTTCAGACTCCTGGCTCGGCTCACTGGTTCCATAGACGTTGACTGCGCGCACACGGAATTTATACTCTCGGTCAGGCAGCAGGTCGTGGATGTTAAAAGAGGTGCTGCGGCATGTGGCTAGTTCCTTCCACTTCTTGTCGGCCGAGTCCCAGATCTCGATGCTGTAGGACTGTACGGCGCTGCCGCCATCGTACGAGGAGCCGTACCAGGACAGGGTCAGCGAGGAGCTGCGAATGTCAGAGGCACAAGGCGTGCCGGCCGGGGGGTCCGGCTTGTCTGGGGAGACAGAAGCACAACGTCACCCAGCTCTGCAGGACTGCAGGGAGGGAAGTTCTTTAATTCGCTCTGTCATGAGGGAGAAGCCTGGAGAACAGGAGCTGCGAACCCTGGTCGTGGCTCTCCTTCCCTCATCCACACGGCCACACCTATGTACACACCTGCCTATGTGGAAAGCCCCACAAATACCGATTTGCTCAGAAAAAACCTCTTCTTTGGCTAGTTTCCAGTCTACACGTCATGGTTTCCTGTGCTTTGCCCAAGTCAAAAACATATTTCTCAGTGTAAACAGACCTAGGAAGCTGCCCAGGAGGCGTGGACTGCTTCCCATCAAAAATATGCTTTGAGGGCTTCCCTGGTGGCGCAGTGGTTGAGAATCCGCCTGCCGATGCAGGGGACACGGGTTCGTGCCCCGGTCCGGGAAGATCCCACATGCCGCAGAGAAGCTGGGCCCGTGAGCCATGGCCGCTGAGCCTGCGCGTCCGGAGCCTGTGCTCCGCAACGGGAGAGGCCACAACAGTGAGAGGCCCGCGTACTGCAAAAGAAAAAACCAAAAAAAAAAAAAAAATGCTTTGAGAGAGAGTTCAATGTGTCTGTGTGTGTGTGTCTCCTTCAGGCCTGAGGTCAGTGACCTGTGACATAACCAGGGGTCAGTCTCCACTTTCTCTGGGACCTGGGGAACACCTGCCCCGCTGAGAGTCAATACAGCACAGTGAGCTCTGAAGTCACACACTGGGTTTGAATACAGCTCTGTCTTCATTCATTACTTGTTAACCCCTCTGTAAAATGTGTTAACCCCTCGTCTGTAAAATGTGCATAATAATAGCACTGGATCACAAGGTTGTTGTGAGATGTTCTTAGAAAAGCGTCTCGTTTGAGTAGCCTTTACTGTCATCATTATTGCAGAAGTTTATTTCTAACTTTATAATATATAAAAAATTACTCCTACCCTCTCTCTGTCACGCTCCTAGGACTGGTATAAAAAGAGATAGAGCATTTCAAAGCGAACCACAGTAGCAAATCACAATCATCCCTGACTGAGGGCCAGAAAATGAGCTGAGGACACAAACCAGGAGCGGCCCTTTGTCTGGCCGCCTTCCCATTCAGACCAGTAATGCTAAGAACCAGTAACACTGCCAACTCCAAGGCAAATCACGGTAGTCAGTGTGTTCATTAATGAGCTTCTTTAGTTTTGCTTATTTTTGGCAGGTGCTCATCTGAACAGAATTCTATTTCTCAGATTTAGTCTCTGTAGGTGGTTGGTTTAGTTACAGATACTAGTGTTCACTAAGCTTTCATCTCCTCCAAGACAGTCTGAGTCCTAGAGCTCCCCACATACACATACACCGATACATACATACACATACTCACACAAACACATACATATATACCTATACACACGTCCACATCCACATATACACATACACATACATATTCGTTTTCCCCCCTCCCCCAAGCCCTGCTGCTTCTACCTCCAGCCAAGAACGCACTGCCCGGAAGCCATCCATACCCAGCAACCCCAGCCTGGGTTGACTCGCCCTGGAGTGACTCTGGGACTGTGACAGCCACTCCCCACCGGTGGCAGTCACTCTGGAGGCCTCCTATGATGGAACCACTTTCACTGGTTGTTCAATATGTTCTCTTAGAAAAACTGTTTGTTCGGAAAGATATATTGGTCTTTTTAGAAATATCTCTGGTGTTGGCTAAGATGTCTATTACTCTAAACTCTCTTATAGGCAAGTGGTTCAAGTCCTCTCAAGACCCAGCTAAGGAAGTAAAAAGGCCTAAAGAAAGATGAAGGACAGACTCCCTGCCTCCCTCCCTCAAAGGAAATGCCTGGAAAACTTCTGACTGGACACGTTTAATGTCCTGTAGTTTGAGATGACGAATACAGATATACTCCACTGACTGATATTCTCCCCTCCTGCTTTGGTCAAGAAAAGAAAACTTGGAGAAACGGGTATTTTGGAAAAGGTACTATTAATCCCCTACCCTGTTCCAAATTTAGTCTCTTGGCTAAAAGAGAGAGAACTGACACAGGACATATGTCACTGCCTGCAGCATGAGAGGAGATGCAAAGTTTGGGGAGGGTGGCTTTAATTCAAAGTGAAACCTCAATGCTTTCAAGGAATTTGATGCCATATTAAGGAGTTCAGAACAGACGCAAGTCTGAAGTCATAGGAGATTAGGAGGCCCCACCCGCATGCCTGCCCTGGGAGCCACGGGCTGAGCCTGATGCTTTCTGTTCTTTGCTCCACATGGAGGCTGGATGAGCCGGGGACGAAAACCCTCAGGACAGAATAGGTGTCCTCAGAACAGCCTGCTCTGAGGGCCAAAGAAACAGACGCACTCAGTCTGGGAGGGAGGCCTGGGCATGGCCTGGCAAAGGCCAGGCGGGCTCAGTGTCTGGGGCCCCGAGCTCCATGCTTCCTTGGAATTCTTTCATGGCTCCCTGGAGACTTGACTAGCAGAACGGGAAATGCTGAGTCTAAAGGAAGGGGCTCCGATGGCACCAGTTCCAGGATTTTCTCTTCAGCAAATGTTCTCACTCCTGGGAAAACGGAGGATCTCATCTCTACTGCTTCTCGGGAGTAACTGCGCTGGCAGTCTCTGCGTGCCTGGGTGTTTGAAGATGGTCTGTGACTGGGCCTAACCCCACTTGGGCCTCCCTTCACTGGCACCTCAGCAGCCACCTGCAGCTTTTAGAGAATGGCAGGGCTGCAAGGGCCCCCAGGTTATCTATCTGGGTAATCCCGGCCCTTCGGGATTAGGCAAGGCACTTTGCTTACCAAGAATACCCAGCTGGCCAGTGACAGAGCCAAAAGGAGATTCTAAAAGGTCTCTGAACCCTCACTCCAGGGGCCTGTTATTTTCCCAGCTATCAGGCTGAATAAGATCAAGAATGCATCTTGCTTAAGCCCAAGCCAAGCATTACGATGAGAAATCTCCTGCCCTTAAAAATCATGCAAGTTCCAAGCTCAGATAGTACTGGGGGATTACTGGGTATCTGGGATTCTCTCTGCTTTGTTTTTCTCCTTTAAAGATACGCAGAGTGGCCTGTTTTTCTTGTGTTGGACAAGTCACATGAAGGACTTCATCTGGGTCCAGCTGCTCTCTCCTGCCCGAGAGGCCCCGCCCTCACCCGTCCGAGGCTGAGGCTGGAGGCCCACTCGTGGGCAGAGGCCCTCTGCGCATCACAAGTCCCTGCACTGTCTTTTAACATATGATAATAATAATAAGCCTTCAAAATAGCTAAACATCACTCATTTAAAGTAACTGAAGGAAAGGCTAATTTTTTTTAATGAATTTATGTATTTATTTTTAAATTTTTGGCTGTGTTGGGTCTTCGCTGCTGTGCGCAGGCTTTTCTCTAGTTGTGGCGAGCGGGGGCTACTCTTCCTTGCGGTGCACAGACTTGCCATTGCGGTAGCCCCTCTTGTTGCGGAGCACGGGCTCTAGGCACGTGGGCTTCAGTAGTTGTGGCGTGCAGGCTCAGTAGTTGTGGCTCGCGGGCTCTAGAGCACAGGCTCAGTAGTTGTGGCGCACGGGCTTAGTTGCTCCGCGGCATGTGGGATCTTCCCAGACCAGGGCTCGAACCTGTGTTCCCTGCGTTGGCAGGTGGGTTCTTAACCACTGCACCACCAGGGAAGCCCAGGGAAAGGCTAATTTTTATCATCATTTAAAAAAATAGGAGTCAGAGACTATCTGAAAAGAAAGGGGTACTTTAAAAAACATACAAGAAGAGAAGTTTACTGCTAATTAGTAGATGTTGTGCTTTATAAACTGGCCTTATTTAGCTGGCTTACAAGTGCGTGCTTCCAAAGTGCTTGAAACTGTCTGGAGTAGGCCAAACAATTCCTATTTCATCTCATTTACATTTTACATCTACTTAATCAACCCTGATCAGAAAATACACAGATGTCCCTAGAGACATGCAGGTAAACCTGGGCTTAATCCAGATTTACTTTGGACTGATTCTAAATCCACAGGCTCTGAATGAATGTGGATTTGCTGTATCCATCAACGTGAGTCCTCATTTTATTGAGCAATTCTATTCTTAGCTCTCCAAGGGGGAAGCAGACAGAAAGCCCTTCCCCTCCATTCCATTCCCCTCCCAGGACGGCATTTAACATACCGCTTCTGCCAGCTGGCGGACAGCCACGCCAATGGCCCTGTCAGCACCGGCCGAGGAGAATGAGAAACTCAACCATAAAAGGCCACAACTGCAGCCCGTATGGTGGTGATGGGGGAGGGGAGCGGGTGGCACCGTGGGGAGCATGGGGGCAGGAGCCACTGGTCACAGAAAAGCAGTTCCATGGACTTGACCCTAAAGTTCCCCTAGCAGGAGCAGATGAGAGAGAACACCAAGGAAAACTGGAAACTGCTGCCAGCTGACGGGTGGGGCGTGGCACCAAATCAATACTTCAGGTTCCGGTCTAAGTGGAAAGGCGAACTGGATCACTAGCACCAATCCCCCGCCCCCAAAAAGTTCCTGACTCCAGGAGGAGACAATTAAAATAAGCATCCGGAGTCACCACAGAGAGAGCGAGGGGGTCAAGGGTCTCTCCTGTCTTTTATAGATGAGAAACCTATTCCCTGAGCCTCTGGTCCACTGGCCTTCCCAGAGATAAAACTCCTGACCTAAGGAAACTAAAGAAAGGGGATCAGATCAAAGAACACCAAGTGAAATCCAAAAATGGGCAGAAGGCCTAAATAGACATTTCTCCAAAGAAGATATACAGATTGCCAACAAACACATGAAAGGATGCTCAACATCATTAATCATTAGAGAAATGCAAATCAAAACTACAACGAGCTATCATCTCACACCAGTCAGAATGCCCATCATCAAAAAATCTAAAAACAATAAATGCAGGAGAGGGTGTGGAGAAAAGGGAACCCTCTTGCACTGTTGGTGGGAATGTAAATTGATACAGCCACTGTGGAGAACAGGATGGAGCTTCCTTAAAAAACTAAAAATAGAACTACCATACGACCCAGCAGTCCCACTACTGGGCATATACCCTGAGAAAACCATAATTCAAAATGAGCCATGGGGCTTCCCTGGTGGCGCAGTGGTTGAGAGTCCGCCTGCCGATGCACGGGACGTGGGTTCGTGTCCCGGTCTGGGAAGATCCCACATGCCGCGGAGTGGCTGGGCCTGTGAGCCATGGCCGCTGAGCCTGCGCGTCCGGAGCCTGTTCTCCGCAGCGGGAGAGGCCACAACAGCGAGAGGCCCGCGTACCGCAAAATGAGTCATGTTCACTGCAGCTGTATTTACAATAGCCAGGACATGGACTCAACCTAAGTGTCCATCGACAGATGAATGGATAAAGAAGATGAGGCACATATATACAATGGAATATTCCTCAGCCATAAAAAGAAATGAAATTGAGTTATTTGTAGTGAGGTGGATGGACCTAGAGTCTGTCATACAGAGTGAAGTAAGTCAGAAAGAGAAAAACAAACACTGTATGGTAACACGTATATATGGAATCTAAAAGAAAAAAAAGGTCATGAAGAACCTAGGGGCAGGACGGGAATAAAGACGCAGACCTACTAGAGAATGGACTTGAGGACACGGGGAGGGGGAAGGGTAAGCTGGGACAAAGTGAGAGAGTGGCATGGAGATATATACACTAGCAAATGTAAAATAGATAGCTAGTGGGAAACAGCCGCATAGCACAGGGAGATCAGCTCGGTGCTTTGTGACCACCTAGAGGGGTAGGATAGGGAGGGTGGGAGGGAGGGAGATGCAAGAGGGAAGAGATATGGGGACATATGTATATGTATAACTGATTCACTTTGTTATACAGCAGAAACTAACACACCATTGTAAAGCAATTATACTCCAATAAAGATGTTAAAAGAAAAAAAAAAAAACAGGTGAAAGGCTTTCGTGTGCACCACGTATGAAGGCCCATTAAGTGCTCTAGGACCAGCCTGCTATCCATCTACTGCTCCTTCACTGTCCCGAACGCCTGCCACGTGGTGGGGGCAGTGGGCTGAGCATGACGGACAGTGGGAGGCCAGTTAGGAAGCTAGTTTGATATTTCAGGAGAGAGTTGACCAGGGCGTGAAAAACACAGTGGTTGAGATGGAGAGGAAAAAGTGACCTTGACAATCAGTCTGGAGACAGACTCTGAACTCAATCCCGGGATGTAGGAGATAAGAAAAAGGGAGTGCATTGGGGATTAGGAGGGCAAGGTGACCTCAGAAGAGCAGCCCCAGAAGACTAATGGGGTCTGGGGGTGAGGCTACAGGGAGTTGAAGATTGTTGCCAGGGAGGTGAATAAGGAGGCTCAGAGGAGAGACTGGCTCTTTCAGAGCGTTTGGCGGTGAAGAGAGAGCAGGAGAAAGATGCTAGGGTGGCCAGAGTGAGACGAGATACTGCAGGAGTTATGCGTGCCTGTGCGCATGGTGAAGATGGGAGAGTCCTGGCAACATTTATGGGAGAAATTGGGGAGAAGTTGAAGAGAATGGGGGTGGCGGGGTTTGGAGCCCTCAAGAGCCTGGGGTCCAGAGCACAGGAGAAGGGTGGGCAACACCCAGAGCCTGGAGGGTGGAGTCAGCACGGGGACAGATGGAGAGACGCCTGCAGGTGTGGGACCACCTAGCTAAGCAAGTTCATGCCTGATGCCTCCTATTTCTCAGAGAGGCCAGTGGCCAAGGCCTGCCGGGTAGGGGGGTCTCGAGGAATGGCTATCTCAGGGTGTGGGGGAGGGCACTGACCAGCGCTGACGCCTTGGCTGAGCCTGGACATTGACAGAGCCCAGCCCTGGGTCTGCAGATTGATGTGGTCTCTCTGCTGTGCCCCAAACCCAGGCAGAGCGGCAGTGAAGTTGAAAGGCAGCACTGATTCAAGGTGAGGGTTTGCGAGGGGACTGGGGTTGGGGGCAGGCAGTGGACCAGGGGGAGAAGGGGTCACAGGGGCTAGCTGGAGAGAGCTGGAGTGGTAGAGCTCAGAGTCTGGCTAGAAAGGGAAACCGGGAGGGGATTCGTAGGAAGAGGACAACGCTGTTGTGTGCAAAGTTCTGGGATTCTCAACAAGCACGAAGGGCAGCAACAGTGTGAGAGCAGGGAGTGGGAGAGCAGGGAGAAAGGGAGCCTGTGGGCAGAGGGAACGCGTGCTGAAGGAGCAGCCCCGGGAGATGAGGCCTGGAAGTCCATCATCCCGCCTTCCCTACGCCCCATCCCCAGACTCACCCACAACGGTGAGGTTGACCTGGGCCTGCCTGCTGCCCAGCCTGTTCTCCACCAGCAGAGTGTAGCAGCCACAGTGCTCCTGGCGTGCAGCCCGGATGGTGAGCTTGCTGCCATTCTCACTGTTCTCCACCTTGATGTGCTCACTCTCCTGGATCTGGGACAGAGAGTGGGGCAGGCACTGGAGACTCTGAGCCAGAAAGGAAGGGGGCTCCGACCCACACTCCTCACCCCTGGGGATGTGGATACAGCTGCCTGAGCTGTGTGGGGCTGGTCTTGTCTGGGCTCTGAGCTTCCCCCTAAGCGGGGAAGACCCCCTAAGGTCTAGACTCTGAGCTTTCCCCCTCTCCTGCATCCAGAGCCAAGCTGCCCTGACAGGGTCGAGATCTGGGACAAGCAGGGAGGGTGCTGAGCAGGGTCTGGTGGTCGGGAGTGAGCTGTCACTCTCTGCTCCAGACCGGAAATGGGGCACATTCCAGCCCCCTCCACTGCTCTGGGATGGGACAGTGGGAGAATAAATTTGATCAAAGTCACTTACAAAGCCCACCCAGTGGGTTCTGACCTCTTCTGTGCTGTCAAATACCATAGTCACCAGCCAGATGTGGCTATTCAAATTTTAGTTGAGTGGCAAATAATCCAAATGTCCATCAACGGATGAACAGATAAACAAAATGTGGTACATCCAGAAAATGGAATATTATTTGGCCATAAAAAGGGATAAAATATTGGTTCATGTTACATCATTGGATGTGCCCTGAAAACATAACGCTAAGTGAAAAAACCCAGACACAAAAGAACACATATTGTATGATTCCATTTATATGAAATGCCCAGAATAGGCAAATCTGAAGAGACAGAAAGCAGGTTAGAGATTGCCAGGGTCTGGGGGAAGGGGAGAAATGACTACTAATGGGTCTGGGGTTTCTTTTCGAGGTGATAAAAATGTTCTGGAATTAGAAAATTGTTATGGTTGTGCAACCTTGTGAATATATGTACACTTTAAAAGGATGAATTTTATGGTGTGTCAGTTATATCTCAACAAAGCTGTAATAACAATTTTTAATTAATTGAAGCATAAAATTCAGTTCCTCAGTTGCACTAGTCACACTTCACGTGTTCAATAGCCACATATGGTTAGTGGCTACTCTACTGGATAACAGACATAGTACAATTACATCACTACAGAAAGTTCTGTTGGATGGAGCTGGGACTTGGCTCAATGTCTCTGAAGAGGGTTGAGATTCCATCTTACTTCGGACACCACTAGCCCAGACAAAACCCAAGCAAACACGCTTTGGGATAAGGCCAGCTTCTCTTCGTCTTTTGAGTCCAACCCTTCTTTCTTCCCCGGTACTAGCCTCCCACCTCTGGGCCTTAGGACAATTTGAATGGGTTGGAAATAGAGCAACAGAGGGCTCAGAATAAGTCATCACACCTTCTGTAGAGGTCCTGACCCAGGGCCAGCCTGCCGGTCTGGGGCCCCTGCTGATCAGGCACATGGGCACACACTACCAACGCTGGATCAGAAAAATGGCCAGGATCCCCAAGTTTCTCTAAAAGGAACTGGTTGTTTGGAGATTCAAACATTTTCCTGTAGGACTGTTGTTATAAATGGAAGTTAGATTTCTGGGTCAGTAAGCCCAAATTCTGTTTAACGTACAATTTATCTACTCAAATACTCAGGTGCACTTTTATCTCTCCAGCATGTGGTAAATTTAAGTGGTTGCCACAGATAGGGTCCAGTGAGCTGGCACAGAATCACAGAAAGCTCTAGAGTCTGAGAGGTCATTTAGGTCACTGGTTCGATTCTCCTGACTCCAAGTAGAATTCTAGACAGAGATACCCAAATCCGGTGGGGGCCATAGGTGGTTTCTGTTTTTTCCTTCATATTCTTCTCTATCACACAAATTGTCTATAAAACAGGCATTCTTGCTAGATGTAGAAGAGAAGGTTATTAAGAGCTCAGATTTGGTGGGTGGGTGACAGGAGTGTGAGGGGCTCTCCCATTTCTCAGGCCCCTGTGATGAGCAGCGATGCTGCCCTTCATCACAGCATTTCTCATCCCTTTCGGCCCAGAACTGCTCTGGAACTTGTGTGGGTTGCTCTCGGGCCACTGCCCTCTGTTACTGACCTGCTTTCGGAACTTCATCCAGGTGCAGGTGATGGGCTGGGTGCCGGCCACTTTACCAAACAGCTCCACAGGCTCTCCTGCACGCACCTTTTGGTCCTCAGGAAACTGGATGATCTGAGGGGGCACGGCTGGGGGAGGACAAGGGAGAGAGTGAGCTCCGAGGAGGAGGGAGCCTCAGACATTCTAATCTCATTCGACGCTGCCAGCCACATTGGTCTGTTGCTCCTCTCTCACCTTCCGGAACCTTCAGGGTAAGACTGAGCAATGACCACTGCTTCAGACACCTGGGCTGACGGATCTGCTAGGTTTGTTGGTCTCTTGATCCTGATTCCCTCAGAAGTGACCCACACAATTTACAAGGCATGATTCTCCGTTCGTTGGTTGTTCTGGAATTTGTGCCTTACCCTAATTTTTTGAAATTGTGACCTTACTCCTTTATTAGTTACAAAGCATCTTGCCTTCTAACCTCCAGGTCACCCTGGCTGACAGGCTCAATATGGTTCACATCCTCAAATGTCTTTCCATGGAAAACAGACAGGGCTTCCTATAACAGGGACATACAGAGCAGAGCATGAAAACAGCACAAAGTGGATTATCTCCGTAAGGGGCAGACTGGAGGACAGAGAGGTGAGCAGGATTTCACAGAAGGGATGGGAAAGTCACCAGTATCGTGTGATGCTGTCCATACCAGGGAAGCAGGAGAAAAGGCAAGTAGTGGAAGAGGGTGGGGGACCAAGGTGTACAGAGACTCTTGGGGAAATTTCAGCCTGAATAATGCAGAGCTTGAATCGGGGAGCGGGGTGGGACCACATCCCCAGTGGTCAGTCTAGCAGAGCAAAGGGTAAACCCCTCATGGCAGATGACTCCCTCGCCCGCAAATGTTGCTGTGACCAATTACCGGCCTTCGGAGGTGTCTTGGGGGCAGGTTTCTTTTTCACAGTTGCATCACCTGAAACAAAGAAGTTCACAGGTTATATTCTGTTATTATTACTTTTTTACAAGGCTCCTGAATCCTAGGAGGGCACAGTCTGATCCACTGGCCCCTCATCCAGATGGAGCCCTCCCTTGAATATGTCTTTCTGGAGACCTTGCAGTCGCACATGGACAACCTCATGAGCGAATGAATACCACTTCTCAACAGGGCCTCTGGAGGGGTCCCTGGAGCCTCCAGGGAGATAAAAACTCTGAAAAATGCTTAGGCTTCCATTGTCCATTTCAATGATGATAACCCCAAACCCACTAACTCTTCTCTTTCCC